TCCCCCGTAATAGGTAGGGGCGATATTTTCCTGTTATGAGCGCCATGCTCGGGGGGGGGGGGGGGGGGGGAGGCTTCTGGGAAAGATTAGTCAATAACCACCAAAAAAATCCTCTGGTTGGCGCGCAATAAAAAATGCACATTATCACCGGTCATTTATAATGAAATTATATATAAACCCAGCACGGGCCCTAATGGATGCCATAAAATGACAGGCGCGGGGGGGGGTGCTGAGGGGGATCCGGAATGAATTCTCCAATAACATGACATTAAAATAAAAACTCAGTCGGAGCTTGGAGGCAGATTAATCCTCCAGGATCTCCGAGGAATAATTAGACCTGAATGGGGTGAAGAGCTTCTTAAAAGGATATTCGGGGGGGGGGAGGAGTCTGGAAAGAAGGTCAGGTCACCCGTGGGGGGGCGTAGGAGAGCTTGTTAATCCCTTAATGAGACTTATCCTGGCCCGAGAGTGGAAACGCATGGGGGCTGGGCCGCTGCTCGAATTTTTAAAGGTGCAGGCTCTTGTGCAGACAATCGTCTCAGTCTGGTAGCTCTCGGGGGACCTTGAATAGGCACGCAGAATGGGACGTTTCCAAACCTTACCGGCTACACGATTATTCCAAGTCATTGACTTACCGGAAACCCAAAATCTATTTGGTGTGTGGTAGCGCCAATGAATATTAGTCCAGGTTGGGTTGCTTGTTGGAGGTTGGGTTGGTGGGGGGGGGGTGGGGTTGGGGGGGGGGGCTTGGGGGTGGGGGTGGGGGGCTTGTGGGGGGGGGTTGGGTTGGTGGGGGTGGGGTTGGTTGGTGGGATAATGACCCCCAGCATTAGTGGCAGTGGACACATAATAACCCCTCCAGAATTGGTGTCAGTGGATACAATATTAGCCCCCACCAGCATCGGTGTCAGCAGACGCAATAATAACCCTCAGCATTGTTATCAGTGGACACAATAATATCAGTATCAGTGGACGCATTAATAGCCCCAGCATTGGTGTCAGTGGACACGTAATAACCACCAGCATTGGTGTCAGTGGATACAATAACAGCCACCAGCATTGATGTCAGCGGACACAATAATAACCCCCAAGATTGGTGTCAATGGATACAATAATAGCCCCCAGCATTGGTGTCAGTGGATAAAATGGCAACCCCCAGAGCTGTGGGATGGGCCCAGAAGACTCCACCCACTACAGAAAACTACAGGAGGGGGTGGAGACAAGACCAGTCACCCTGCACAGGGAGAGATAGCAGAGCCGTGGGATGGGCCAAGCAGGCTTCTCCTACTACAGAAAACTACAGGAGGGGGGGGGAAACAAGACCAGTCAACCTGCACAAGAGAAGAAAGCAGAGCTGTGGGATGGGCCAAGCAGGCTCCACCTACTACAAAAAACTACAAGAGAGGGCGGAGACAAGACCAGTCACCCTGCACAGGGAGAGAAGAGCAGTGGGAGATGCCCAACACGCTCCACCCACTACAGGAAACTACAGGAGGGGGCGGATACAAGACCAGTCACCCTGTACAGGGAGAGAAAGCAGAGCTGTGGGAGGGGCCAAGCAGGCTCCACCTACTACAGGAAACTACAGGAGGGGGCGGATACAAGACCAGTCACCATGTACAGGGAGAGAAAGCAGAGCTGTGGGATGGGCCAAGTAGGCTCCACCTACTACAAAAAACTACAAGAGGGGGCGGAGACAAGACCAGTCACCCTGCACAGGGAGAGAAAGAAGAGCAGTGGGAAATGCCCAACAGGCTCCACCCACTACAGAAAACTACAGGAGGGGGCGGATACAAGACCAGTCACCCTGTACAGGGAGAGAAAGCAGAGCTGTGGGAGGGGCCCATAAGGCTTCACCCACTACAGAAAACTACAGGAGGGGGTGGAGACAAGACCAGTCACCCTGCACAAGAGAAGAAAGTAGAGCTGTGGGATGGGCCAAGCAGGATCCACCTACTACAGAAAACTACAGGAGGGGGTGGAGACCAGACCAGTCCCCCTGCACATGGAGAGAGAGCAGCAGTGAGCGGTCTTTATTCCAGGAAGTCTCACACGGGATGACTGCACAGATCTGGGAGGAATACACAAATCTCGCCGAGATTCCAGGCGAACAGTCGCGGCGGATGGATTTAGACAATATTTGCTTATTCCGGAGTTCACCTTTAAGAATAATTGGAATAGCAGGGAGACCTCACTCCGCCGACCTGATTTACTGCAGAAAATTATTCAAGCCGCACACAATTATTTCCCCCCCCCTCCCCCTCGGCGAGCGGCGGGTGTCGTGGGAAATGTATATTATATATCCAACATGTACTTAACGACTCTGTGGGGAGACGGCCCCCCATCCGCCGGCAGTATCTGGAGCATCGCTGACTTTCCACGTATGGAAGGGCTGTGAGCGACCCAACCTAGATTTCAGGGACGGAAATTGATGGCACGGACTCCGTGCCGAGGACAAGCGCATCAACAACGTCAGGGGGGGGGGGTGCGCTTTTTTTTTTTTGGAGAGTGAGCGCCATAAGGAAGACATATGGGGTAATTTATATGCAGAATAATGAGAGCAGGTTTCTAGGGCAAATGATGGAAAACTAAAAACAAAAGTTGAGCGAGTGACTGAAAGCAAAAAAACGCACAAATGATATTTATTTATTTCAGGTACTTGTATAGCGCCGTCAATTTACGCCGCACTTTCCATATATATTGTACATTCACATCAGTCCCTAACCCTCAAGGGGTGTACAATCTAAGGTCCCTAACTCACATTCATACATACACATACTAGGGACAATTTAGACAGGAGCCAATTCACCTGCTAGCATGTCTTTGGAGTGTGGGAGGAAACCAGAGTACCCGGAGGAAACCCACGCAGGTACAGGGAGAACATGCAAAATCCAGGCAGGTGGTGCCGTGGTTGGGATTCGAACCAACGACCTGAGTACTGCCAGGCGGAAGTGCTAACCACTTAGCCACTGTGCTTCCCAATATGACCAGTAGGTGTCGCCGGGCAGAAATGTTGAAAAGTTAGCATTGCAAATCTGACTGATCCTTCCCCTACAGTCCATTTGCCATGGTTTCCTATGGGACGGGTTCACATCTCGGCATTTTCAACCGCTGCGTCATTTTCAGGCCATTTTTTAAAACGCAAAATGTTGCGTTTTTGGTTCTATAGACTTCAATGGAGACGCTGCAGAAAGGCATCAATGCTTTTTTGAGCCACTGTATTCCTGGACTTTTTTTTTTTAACCACTTCCCGTCTGGTCCATGTACTGTATATAAACGGCCAGATGGTGCCAAGTCCAGGGGCGGGTACATTTATGAAGAAATTTTATTTATTTGCAAAATTTTATAACGGAAACGAAGAAAAGTGTGTTTTTTTTTCAAAAGTTTCAGATTATTTTTGTTTTATTTAGAAAAAAAAAAAAAACTCAGTGGTGATTAAATACCACCAAAAGAAAGCTCTATTTGTGTGAAAAAAAGTATAAAAAATTATTATGGGTACAGTGTTGCATGACCACGCAATTGTCATTCAAAGTGCGACAGCACTGAAAGCTGCAAATTGGCCTGGGCAGGAAGGGGGTGACAGTGCCAGGTATTGAAGGGGTTAAAAATTCACAAAGCGAACGATGTGACCAGGGGCGGACTGACAACTCATGGGGCCCCCAGGCAATAGGGGATCATGGGGCCCCTGTGTCCTTGCCCACACTCAAAAAAGCCTATGAAAAAAGGTACCAGGGGCATCTCATGGGGCCCCCTACTGACCCCGGGCCCTTGGGCAGTGCCCGAGTTTCCACATGGTCAGTCCGCCCCTGGATGTGACATTTGATCGGTCAGAAGCCAGCTCTGAGGCTCGGTTCACCCCTACCTGTATGCAGTTTGCTTTTGATCCGTTTTATAATGCTTTTTGCATTGCGCTTTGCATTTTTACACGTGTTTTTGACACATTTATATTGCGCTTTTGCCAGCTTTGTGTTTGTTTTTTTTTGTTTAAAGTGGAACTTTTTTTTTTGTTGCTGGGCAAAACATGGTAAAAACGTGGCAAAAATGCACTGCATGTGTTTCAGCAGCTTCTCCACTGAAGCTGCTTTTTGCGTTTTTTAACCACTTCATGTCCTGACACTGTCACCCCCTTCCTGTCCAGGCCAATTTTCAGCTTTCAGCACTGTCGCACTTTGAATGACAGTTGCGCGGTCATGCAACACTGTACACATATGAATTTGTTAGCATTTGTTTGAGACAGATAAAACTTTATTTTGGTGGTATTTATTCACCACTGGGATTTTTTTTTTTTTTGCTATATAAACAAAATGTGCAAAATTTTTGAAAAAAAAGTTTTTTTCTTATAAAATTTTGCAAATAAATAATCTTTCTTCATAAATCTCGGCCAAAATTTATTCCGTTATCTTTTTAGTAAAAAAAAAATAACCCAAATTAGTCTATAACCGAAAATATTTTTTTTTTTTTTATTTTGTTTTACATTTTTATATTATTATTTATGTTTTTTTAACATACCGTCACCCTAGCAGTACAGTGTCACCACCAAAATAAAGTTTTATCTGTCTCAAAAAAATGCTAAAAAATTCATACAGGTACAGTGTTGCATGACCGCGCAATTGTCATTAAAAGTGTGATAGCGCTGAAAGCTGAAAATTGTCCTGGACTGGAAGTGGGTGAAAGTGTCCGGACTGGAAGGGGGTGAAAGGTCCGGACTGGAAGTGGGTGAAAGTGTCCGGACTGGAAGAGGGGGAAAGTGTCCAGACTGGAAGGGGGGGAAAGTGTCCGGACTGGAAGGGGGGGAAGTGTCCGGACTGGAAGGGGGTTGAAAGTGTCCGGACTGGAAGGGGGGAAAGTGTCCGGACTGGGGGGAAGTGTCCGGACTGGAAGGGGGGGAAAGTGTCTGGACTGGAAGGGGTGAAAGTGTCCGGACTGGAAGGGGATGAAAGTGTCCGGACTGGAAGGGGGGGAAAGTGTCCGGACTCCGGACTGGAAGGGGAAAGCGTCCGGAAAGGGGGTGAAAGTGTCCGGACTGGAAGGGGGGGAAAGTGTCCGGACTGGAAGGGGGGAAAGTGTCCGGACTGGAAGGGGGTGAAAGTGTCCGGACTGGAAGGGGGACGTTCCGGACTGGAAGGGGGTGAAAGCGTCCGGACTGGAAGGGGGGGGAAAGCGTCCGGACTGGAAGGGGGTGAAAGTGTCCGGACTGGAAGGGGGTGGGAAAAGTGTCCGGACTGGAAGGGGGGAAAGTGTCCGGACTGGAAGGGGGTGAAAGTGTCCGGACTGGAAGGGGGGAAAGTGTCCGGACTGGAAGGGGGTGAAAGTGTCCGGACTGGAAGGGGGTGAAAGTGTCCGGACTGGAAGGGGGTGAAAGTGTCCGGACTGGAAGGGGGTGAAAGTGTCCGGACTGGAAGGGGGTGAAAGTGTCCGGACTGGAAGGGGGGGCGTCCGGACTGGAAGTGTCCGGACTGGAAGGGGGGGAAAGTGTCCGGACTGGAAGGGGGTGAAAGTGTCCGGACTGGAAGGGTGGGAAAGTGTCCGGACTGGAAGGGGGGGAAAGTGTCCGGACTGGAAGTGGTTAACGTGTAAGTAAAAAAGGAAAACCTGCGCTGCACCCAAAAAAAAATATTGACAATGAATATATAAATATGTGAATAAATATAGTGAACTGCTGCTACTCTTTTCTTGAACACCAGAAAAATGCAAAAGATATAAACGGTGAGTGCGCTGTACACCGGAAAATCAGATGCAATGATCAAACACAATATATCCACAAAATAATAGTATGACAAAAAGTACATTACTAAAGGCCTTTAAAAAGTCCAAATTCATATAGTGAATAAATAAAAGTTCCAAATCCAGTGATGCAGTGCTGTGAAATCTTCCAATAAAAGCGTATAGGTGTCCCCAAGCGCTTGACACAACAGAAAAATCAGCCTCTTACCAGACACATTGATCTCCAATCAAGAGATCAAACCAGCAGACGGTGTCCAGATCCAACACTGACACCCATGTTAGCAGTATTAAGGAGATGAATGGACAACTGCAGGTTCACCTCGATGAGTTCACCACATCGAGTTCATCACATCAAACAGCTCTCCACACCATGTAAGGAAAGGTTTAAAACAGAAGGAGAAAACTTTATAGTGCGACCCGATAAACCAGCAAAAGATTTATTGAAATATTGCACTTACATAGATAAGGTGCATAAAGGCAGTGTACAAATGTAAAAGTCCCGCAGTGTCAGACCACCAACGTGGTGATGTCACAGAAAGCCCCGCCCAACGCGTTTCTCCAAAAATGGCGTCCTCTGGGATTGGAGATCGGTCTGAAAGTGCACATGAGCATGGACAAGTGTGCATTGTAAAAAGCAGAGAATGATAACATAACAAAGTGGAAACAGAGTGTGGAGGAGTCCCACAAGGTCTGAATTCTAATAATTGGATATGAAACAATTAAGATCAATATTTATAGTCAATCCTTTTGGGGTCGTCGACTCCACAACGTATATCCATTTTGTCTCATTTTGGGAAACCTGTATTTTCATGTTGTTACCCCTCCAATGAGGATCCTATCTATACCATAGAAAATCAACCCTTTGTATTTGGGCCGGCTGTGTGGCACAGCCCCGGGCATATCCGACCTGGAACCACCAGAACTGGGGCCCAAATAATTCAGACCATGGAGTGAAAACCAGGACTCAGGAAAAAGGTTTCTAACCCATCTGGCTGCAATATATCACCCTAGGTGCAAGAACTAGTTTAGCTTTAGTTTAGTTACAACCAGGCACGGTACAATCTATGCACAAGATAAGATGTGGGTGGGGACTTGAATCCCAGGGCAAACACTACCTTAGCAATTGTTGGAGTTCCCCAATTTCCAGGTTACCATTGACCTGTCATGGGGGCATTAGCGGGTGAAAGATAGGACTTTCCGCAGCCTGAAAAGCATAACAATTGTGATTCAGCCTACAATAGCTGTAAAGGTATGGCCCAGGTCTTTATTCCAGTGGTGTGAGCGGTGACCTATATTTCGGGAGCAAGAAGTAAGTGTACAGATTGGCTCAGTAGGGGTCAGGTGGTAGTTGAATAAAGGTGGGCTGGCCTGCCAAGCAGTGGTGACAGGTTCCTTCTCTGGATGATGTACTGGGAAAACCCATGTCCCTCAACAAGCCCAACCTAGAACCACAAGACCCAACCATTCAGGCCATAGAGTCTGAACCATAGCTCAGGGAAAAGGTTTCTAACCTCCTAACTGCAATGATTGACTGTAGGCACCTGGCATAGGAACCTGCTTATTAACTAGCTCTTTGGGGGTGATACAACCATGAATGATGTACTCTATGTAGCAAAACATCCTCCAGCTTCCTAAAAGATATCAGACTGTGGGTGGTGACTGGAATCCCAGGGCAAACACTACCCTAATAGACATTGGGGTTCCACAATTTCCAGGTTACCGTTGACCTGTCATGGGGGCATTAGCTGGTGAAAGATAAGGCTTTCCGCAGCCTTGAAAGCATAATAATTGTGATTCAGCCTACAATACACCCTTTGCTGTAACGGTATGGCCCAGGTCTTTTTATTCCAGTGGTGTGAGCAGTGACCTGTATTTGGGGAGCAAGAAGTAAGTGTACAGATCAGCTCAGTGGGGGTCAGGTGGTAGTTGAATGAAGGTTGGCTGGCCTGCCAAGCAGTGCTGACAGGTTCCCTCTCTGGATGATGCACTGGGAAAACCCATGTCCCTCAACAAGCCCAACCTAGAACCACAAGACTCAACCATTCAGGCCATAGAGTCTGAACCAGAGCTCAGGGAAAAGGTTTCTAACCTCCTAACTGGAATGATTGACTGTAGGCACCTGGCACAGGAATCTGCATATTAACTAGCTCTTTGGGGGTGATACAACCATGGATGATGTACTCTATGTAGCAAAACATCCTCCAGGTTCCTAAAAGATATCAGACTGTGGGTGGTGACTGGAATCCCAGGCCAACCACTACCCTAATAGCCATTGGGGTTCCACGATTTCCAGTTTATCCCAACTGCAATGATTCACTGTAGGCACCTGGCACAGGAACCTGCTTATTAAGTAGCTCTTGGGGGGTGCTACAACCATGGATGATGTTCTCTATGTAGCAAAACATCCTCCAGCTTCCTAAAGATATTAGACTGTGGGTGGTGACTGGAATCCCGGGGCAAACACTACCCTAATAGCCATTGGGGTTCCACAATTTCCAGGTTTCATTTGACCTGTTTCAGTTGACCTGCAGTGGTGTGAGCAGTGACCTGTATTTGGGGAGCAAGAAGTAAGTGTACAGATCAGCTCAATGGGGGTCAGGTGGTAGTTGAATGAAGGTGGGCTGGCCTGCCAAGCAGTGCTGACAGGTTCCCTCTCTGGATGATGTACTGGGAAAACCCATGTCTCTCAACAAGCCCAACCTAGAACCACAAGACCCAACCATTCAGGCCATACAGTGTGAACCAGAGCTCAGGGAAAAGGTTTCTAACCTCCTAACTGCAATGATTGACTGTAGGCACCTGGCACAGGAACCTGCTTATTAACTAGCTCTTTGGGGGTGATACAACCATGGATGATGTACTCTATGTAGCAAAACATCCTCCAGATTCCTAAAAGATATCAGACTGTGGGTGGTGACTGGAATCCCAGGCCAACCACTACCCTAATAACCATTGGGGTTCCACGATTTCCAGTTTATCCCAACTGCAATGATTCACTGTAGGCACCTGGCACAGGAACCTGCTTATTAACTAGCTCTTGGGGGGTGCTACAACCATGGATGATGTTCTCTATGTAGCAAAACATCCTCCAGCTTCCTAAAGATATCAGACTGTGGGTGGTGACTGGAATCCCGGGGCAAACACTACCCTAATAGCCATTGGGGTTCCACAATTTCCAGGTTACCGCTGACCTAGCGATTCGGTCACGGGGGCGTTAGCGGGTGAAAGATAGCACTTTCCGCAGCCTGAAAAGCATAACCTTTGTGATTCAGCCTACAATACATCCTTTGCTGTAAAGGTATGACTATATTTACATGTGTTATCACAACAACAAAAGAAAATAGAAAACCAACCTTCGCCCACTTGAAAAATTACAATGCCCTGATCCGCAGCTGTGTCATTGCCGAGGTGGGAAGGCTCGTGTAATGATAATTCAACAAATAAGTGTGATTTCTCCGTTCCATCGGAGGTACTACATGAGGTGCAAGCTCTACCACACAGACCTGTTCATTTTCCCGAGCAGAGGGAGTAATTATCCAAGTGAAGGATATTTGTTAAGCCCTTTACTATGAGAAAAGCTCTACCAAACAACAATTACACATTCCTGGAGTGTCTTCAAGTAATTGTTTCATGTGGGGAAAACAGTATTCCCCCCCCAATGAGGAGCAATAAAAGCCTGCAATACAACATTAACATTGAAAAGGGTCAACTACTGCATTGGCTGTGACACCAAAGCAAAATGGGTGTTAAAAAAAAATGACCTGCCCTGGATGTCTAATATTATTGAAAATCACATTTCTTATCCTTTTATTTTATTTTTAAACACATTGTGTTACGTGATCTAGGGTTCCACAAGAGCTAAAAGAGATTTCAAGGGTTCCTTGTGGGTAAAAAGGTAGAGAAAGGCTGGGTTAGACAAAGAGCCCAGAGAAGAATAAAGACACCATGTAGGACCCCTTACTGTCCATGCTGGGTCAGTAGTACAGTCTAGCTTTTTCCATTTAGCAGTCTTCATATCCCTCCTAGGCGTGGGTATAAAATAGATGGAGAAGTGGAGCCCAAGGGGTCATTGGTATGACTGAGAGACAAGCAGAATTGAGAAGAGAGTTTTAGGCCCTCGTGGGAGTTTCAGGGCCTACACCTAATCAAAAAATGCAGTCAGACCTTCCCTTGAGGGTACCATTTGTTCCTTTCCTCTTAATGGGTTTTCCAGGAAGCTGAGGCACTCTAGCAGAGGCCCCCCTCCCGGAAGGTGGGTGCAGCACTGAATGGGACAAGCAATACATAATGGAGCCATTTCAGATTTCATTGCTATCTATACTGATCTGAGCTGTTGAAAACCATAGTGAAATAGACTATTTTGATGCATGAACTGAAAAGTTCCAAAAGAGGTGACCCAAGTCTTTTTATTCCAGTGGTGTGAGAAGTGACTTGTATTTGGGGAGCAAGAAGTAAGTGTACAGATCAGCTCAGTGGGGGTCAGGTGGTAGTTGAATGAAGGTGGGCTGGCCTGCCAAGCAGTGGTGACAGGTTCCCTCTCTGGATGATGCACTGGGAAAAACCATGTCCCTCAACAAGCCCAGCCTAGAACCACAAGACCAGGGACCCAACCATTCAGGACATACAGTGTGAACCAGAGCTCAGGGAAAAGATTTCTAACCTCCGAACTGCAATGATTAACTGTAGGCACCTGGCACAGGAACCTGCTT